GATAAAACTGTAGGTAGGTTTTCCCCACACAAATTAGTTTTAATACAAATTTTCAAAGGAATAAAAATATTACCCATAGCTAGAAAGTGAATTGATACAGTATAGTCGTATAAGTGGCATCAAGAATCTTTGGAAAGGTTAGAACATTACTTTTAAGCTATCACTGGTTATATATAAAGATTAGTTTCTCTTAGTCAGTAACTTAGTCGGAAACATTAGAGATCAGTTAAATGATTACTTAAATTCTGCACCCCCCTGGCCCCCAAGGCCTAAAGTGACATTGCTAACCAAGAAAACAGGGTCAGCCTTGAAAATGGAGGAATTTATTATGCCTCATGAACTGAAGTGAAAATTACTAGTTGTTTAACTTTTCCTAAACTCAAATCTATTTTTATAAACTAATGTAAATAATCTGTTTATATTTAGAATTCTAACTGGTTTTCATTTTTATAACTGGTAGACTAGACCTTCCTTAAACTTTTAGAAATAAAACAAAGGCTCAACTGGATTTGTGGGAATAAAATTCAACAGAGTAGATGAGTTACTGTGTGTTTATTGTGCCAGTGTGAATTGTAATTTACCAAAGAGAAGTACGTAATTTGCTTGGTCTTACAGAGAAGTTCCCCTGAAAGGAAAACCCTTTCAAATAAATAAAACTTCCTAAATTACTAGTACTTTGGGCTGTTTTTCATGAATTATGAGACTCACCCCATGTGATCTTCTGTATGGAAAACCATTACCAGACGTAAACGTCAGTATGAGAGGTGGTGCAGCACGGCGTCCTCCCTCTGAAGTCCCACTCAGGTAAGAGATTAGTACTCTGGGCTTCAGAAATCCTTTTCTCCTTGGACAGTGAAGTTTGTTGTTCTAATGCAATGTTAATCCTATTTGAAGCACCGGGAAACTGAACAGACATCTGTATATTATCACCTTTATTGAAATTTAATTTTAGTTTTAAAATTAATTAACTTAGTTTTAATTCCTTAATTTTAGTTTTCAAAAATCTCTTTGGAACTAATTTCTTTGGAGCTTAAAAACACATACTTTTATCACCTGACCTTGACTTTATTTTCTCTCATGTTGTAGGACATCTAATAGTTTCAAGAAAGGGTGGTAAGAGAAAAAAGCATTCAGTTTCGATGTTTTTAAAATTTGATGGTTTGCGATCCATTTCATCATTTTTAAAGAAGTCATGAAAACACTTCAAAAGAGTAAAGTATTAGAAAAGGCTGGGACCAAGTGTTCAGTTATGGCAGACTTACCTTGCTTCCAAATTCTTTAGTCTGACATAAAATATCAAACCTTTATCTTCAAAATATTATTCAAGGAGTTCTCATAGACACTGTCACTTTAAATTACGATGATATTTTATTTTAAATAGTCACGACATCTGACACTTCAAAAAGTATACCACTAATAAATAACAAAAGTGGAAATACCAAAGTTATAACAGACATAATGTTTAGCTGAGAATCATTTCAACAGAGTAAGGCTCTAAAGATATCAGACAAACCAGTACTTGTTTGGAATAAGGTGTGCAACTTTCTTACTGTATAGGCTTACAGACAAGGCCCTGGTTCCATGTGGTCAAGGTTACAGTCATAAAACCTAAAGTTTTAGCACAGCTGTGCTTCAGATTAAACTTTCAATAGTTGTGCTCGTCTACACAGGATGTTATGGACTCTGCCCCCTGCAAAAAATGACAACTTGAAAGACTTCTTTCAAACATTACCAGTATCCAATATGTATACGTTCTTAACATTTCTGAAAAGAGCAAAATTAATAGGTGCTGGTGTTCACATCTGACAGCTCAGGTTTTATGACTGACAAATCTTAATGCTCCTAGACTTTGGGGTGTACAAGGTAGGCAGTATTTTAAGTAGAATGTGGGGAAAATTAGCATCAAATGGGCATTCATTTCTTGACTGTAGCGCCATTAGCCCTCAATTAACTCTTTATAGGGCGTGGTTAAGCCATTAAAAACTTAAACCAACAGTTTTTATATTAAAATGCTTCGCCACACTAGTAACACTTTGAAGTCACTAAAAACTAAGTATTTACCTTGTAGAGGAAACACATAGAAATGAACTGACAAACAGAAAAACAAGTTATGAAAAATGCTAATCACCTAAATGGATCCATGTCCCCCCTTTGTGTCTACTTCATACATTCTCCCCACCCGCCCCACTCCAAAAAATGTTCAGGTTATTACATCCCAAAGTAATTATTCCTGAATTACTTTTAAAGAGACAAACTGCTCTGTAGTGTATAAGCTACTTAGGTCTACACATTCTAGGATGATGCACTTCCACTGTCCTAGCTCTCAAATTTGGAAATCTGCTCAGGTTCAGTCTCCTTTTAAAACCTTTCCAAAATAAACAGAATTTGTGATCCCTAGATTCAAAGACAGTACAGGTTATATGACACCTTTTTTTTGGATTAAATAAAAGCCACAGGATTCTGTGTGGCTAAAAACTAAATCTGAATTATTCGCGTCTGGCATTGAGTAAACATATTTTTAAGTTCATTCTGCTGGACTTCATTAACTCCTTCAGGTTCTGCAGGGCTCTTCTGAACCTTTGCCACTGCAAAGCTTATCCCCTGGGTTAATCCAGCTTGAGTAATATTAGCAACCTGGACCATGGAACTTCGAATCTTTGCAAAGGGAGAGACTGCTCTGCTGCTACAGCTCTCTGAAGGAGAAGGAGTTATGTGAAGCCCTCTCTCGAGTTCAAGTGTGCCAGATTCGGAGCCGGGGGTCTTTTGAGATACAACTGAATGCACTGGTTCAACTGACAAAAGCTGTGGGCCTGCTGCAGAAAAAGACACATCTAACTGAGATGGTCGAGAAGGTATCTGTTCCGCTGATTCAAATTGAGTGTCTTCGTTAGAAACTTGATTGGTCATTTGATTTCCTTCCTCACTAGCCTGCTGAGAAACACACCTGGTTTCTGATAGCTGGGTCATTTTGTTTTGTGCATCTTGAACAAATCTGTGGCAGTAAGTATCCACGGGCTTGGCAAAGCCAGTCAGTGTGTGTATGTTGTCAGCAGAAGGACTTTTCTTCAAAGACGACTCACAGCCTTTTCCAGGCCCACTTTCATGAGCAAGAGTAACCTCTGAAGGAACATGAATGCTAATATCAGTGCTGCTCATAGACTGGGATCGACTGCCTAATTGAGGTATTGAAGCAATAATACCACAACTAGGAAGAACATAGTCTACTGGCCCTACATTCTCTAAAGAGTTAGCTAGCTGCCTGTCTTCATCAGACTTAGAATTTGTAAGGAATTCATCAGAGTGGTATGAGTCATTATCTGAAGACATTTCCCCATCCGACTCTGCCTGGGCTTTATTATCCATCACACTAGTGTTTTCCATGGTTTCAAGACTACTATCTGATTTCCAAAGATTGACTTTTAAGTTTGGTTTTAGAAAGTTAACTTTCATTTCAGGTTTTGTAAAGTTTCCTAGCTTTCGTAGATTGCCAATATTTACATTGGATTTGGTCTGTTTCACTTTTTGATTTAGAGATGAAAATTTGCTCATTAAAAATTTTTTCCCCTGGGCCAAAGAGCCTTGATTTTGAGATCTGATGCCAATGATGTCTTCATGAGGTTTGCTGCTCTTCCTACGAATTAGAAAAGAAAAAAGTTAATTTCCCATGGAATCCAATTATTAATTTAAGTGAAAACTCTTATTTAAATTGGCCCCAATTTCTTAAAAACAGTACACTGCTAAATGATAAACCCAGATAACCCCTTGGACTTGATGCAAGAACATTAATATCCAATACAAATATGTGAGCGATATACAATTTTACATACAAAAATATCATTTCAACATATAATCAGTATTAACAGATATCTTAATCTTTCTTAAACTAAGCCTTTGGAACAGCCAATGCATAGTATTTTATATTTTACAACAGGGCAGCAGAAGCCTTTGTAAGTGACATTGACGAGTCACCCCCAGGCACCGAATGGAATGGGTGGCCTGGCTGTGTGACTTTAACCCCAAGTTCAGCCATCAGGCCACAGACATCTCCCACATGTGCTGTCATCTTTCTCAAGCAGGCCACCTGGTGCACTGAAGAACCACCCTGTGGAAACACTACATCTGCAATATTTTAATCCTACTTAATGAAGCGCTTCACAGTAATTAGATGAATTATGTTGAGTTCTTTGGCATTCAGGGAGAAGAGGGAGGTAATGGAAGATGGGAGGGAAGCCTCCTAACAGTAGCCTCAACCTCTGCTTTTGCATTATTCTGAGAATAAATGTTTCCAGAAAAACCCCACACCCAAAATTTAGACTAGTCCTATTTCAAAGGCTCCACAGCCATATGTGGTGACTGACTACAATTTGGGGCAGCACAGATCCACCACATCAGCAATCTAAACCACCAGCAAAGGCAACACTAACTATAGACAGGTATCTACAGCATCTTAACTAAAGTGTCTACACATTCCAATTTTGCTGAATTCAGGTAGAGTGGGGAGGGGAAAGAACGCCATTTCCTTATGTTTCCTGTGGGCTACCTGGATTTATTTTAGAAGACTTGGGACATTTAACATAACTGCACTTAGTGTTTTCTTCTCTGGCATCCCTCATGGCTGCTATAAATAAGAAAAAAGTCAGTGCTATTTACCACACGTCTTAGTACACTGGTTCCACACTTGGTCATGCAAGATCACTGGTCATGAGAATATTTCCTAAAAATTATGACGTTGAAGAGCTACTGTATAGTAGCTCTTTGTAGATTCTATAAAATTTAAATAATCTCATTCAATTAAAAAAAAGAACCACTGAAATAATTATTTCTAACAGAAGACAATTTTCCTCTAGATGACCAAATGACTCTCTTTTCTAGTGGAATGTGGACTTTAAAACCTGCTCATTAGATGGAAAACCCACAGATTTTAAATGTAAAATAATCTGTTTACAGGCATTCTTTTCCAAAATTCAAACACCTAGTGTTTAAAACATACTGGCTGGTTATTTTCTCTAAAAAGTTATTTAAATTTGAATGTTCCCTCTCTTAAGAGTATATTTAAGCGTTTCAAAATATATCACTTGTGGCCATAATTTATTTTATTTATTATTATTACTATTTTGGCCACGCCGAGCGCCATCCAGGATCTTAGTTCCCTGACCAGGGATCAAACCAGCGGCCCCTTGCAGTGGAGGCACGGAGTCTTTCTTAACCACTGGATCGCCAGGGCCATAATTTAAATAAAATTATTACTTTCTGATCCACGAAGATATGATACTTCTCCCTGTAAGTACCGACACAGTATCATAATGTGATTTCTCTCCCTTTTGCAAATACTTTAAAAGAAGTAAAACTTTAATTTTCTCTGAAGAATAAAGACATTACTATCCAAAGTAGTATACTTACCTCTCAAGCTTCTTCTCTATAATAGGCACATCTAATCCCATGGCTTGCTTGGTGATCTGCAGCATCTCTGCAATGCACTGAAGGGTATCTGAAACCCAAATATAGTTGCTTGCCAGTTTCTCCAAAAACATATTTAAAAATTAGCAGTTCTCAGAACTCCAGATGAAATCTGTAGTCTTGTAATTAGACACGTTTATTTGTTATAATTTACAGAAAAATGCTACTTGTTCATCACTCCCCTCACTAATTCAAAATGTTCTAAAATTTTAACAGAAGACTAAAGAACAAAAGAACTAAATCAATTGGAATTAAAAGTTTATTCTGAAACCCTCATCTGTCCAAACACTGCTAGATGCTGAGACAACAGCCATGAACAAGACAGGTGTTGTCTCTGACTACTATCCATGAGAGGCGTATGTGGTAGGAAAAGCCATGACACCCATAAGGCCAAACACACTAAGAACTCCCATAATAGATTCCCTTGCCCCAGACTACATCATCAGTTCAAGTAATGTCCCTGCATTGCTGGGAACAAAGCTGCTATTTCAAGATCTCAAATCACAAAGCTATTTTCCTGGATCATTCAGTTGGTACTGGGTATGTACAGTCCCCAAGTCCACTTGGGCTTTTAAGAGCAGAGAAAAAGTTATCACTGAATACTTTCATCTCTCTCCGTTACCTTTTCCATCCTCTTCTGGATTGCGCATTACAGCTCTCAAGGTGTGGAAATAGCCACTTGCTTCTTTATACCTGTAGTGCAGTCGCATGCAGGAGAACTTTGCCTTACCAAAAAGAGTGGGTTCAGGACCTAAAGACCCAAATGAATACATGTAAATCTTTCACATAACATTCACTTTCTTCTGTATCTTCAAAAGACTGACATTCATCAATTATTTAGCACTTTTCTTCATAATGTAAATGAGAGCGCATGCTTATGATTTGGTTTCATGAGATTATAAATCAAAATTCTTCAGTCTCAAATATTTAAACTGTCTCGATCCCAGCGTTAATCTTCACAAGGCAAGTAATGAAAGAAATATAGTTATTATTAGACTATATCCATCACTAATCTCTCAAAATCAAGGGAATCCTAAGAAATGTACTACTTAGACTATCCCCTTCTGATTCTAATAAGATGTTATACAACGTGCTTAAATAATGACCCATTCTTAGAAGAAACAATATTTGCTTTCTATGACTTGGTTAGTATGTTAAAATTTACCTATTTCAATTTTTTCCAGATCTTCTAGACTTAGTCGTTGATACTGGTTTACTTTGTCAACTTCATCATCATAACTTGACAAAGGGTAAGAGAGTTAAGAAGAGGATTAAAATCAAAAGCATCTTTGGCTTGTCAGCTGAGGTATAACAGCAACTACTACGCAGTTAAAATCTTCCATAGCACAATACATTCTGGGGTAAAGAGTTAAACAAAAATATTTTAAAAACCAGATGAAATGAGATGAATATTATACACACACACACACACACACACACACACACACAAATATATAGTTCAACAGCTAAAGGAAAATCAGTTTATACATCTTACACTAAAAGAAATCAAACCAACAAACTAAAAACCTAAAAGGAGAGAAAAACACATACGTATACTGAAGCTATGTATTCCTGATACAGCAGATAAATCTGATAGCCAAAATCAAGAATGAGAAATCCATCTGATCAGTGCCAATAGGCACCTGGGCCAATGACTGAAAAATGACAGTTCACACAAGGCCAAAAAGAAAGTGAATATATATGTATCTGAAAAACGTAAACCTCAATTCTGGTCAGGCTATGAGGAAGTACTCTGCTGTTAGTGGCATTGTTAACTGGTAGTCTTTCTGGAGATCAATCTTGCAATAAGGCACGAAAGTCATACCATTCATCATAGCCTTATAATCAGAGAAGTGTATGTGCACACACACAGTTATCTTTACATAGACAGCTGTACCATTCATAATAGCAAAAAAGATGGGAGTATTTTAATGCCTAACAATGGGGAAACATTTAACTAAGGTATAGTAATAAAAAACAGTGCTATATGGTCATTCACAATAAAAATATGTGGAATACATCAAAACTTGAGATCTATAGGAAATAACACTAAAAGAACACTTATATAAACACACTGATTATAAAGCACATTTTCAAACTGAAGTCAGAGTGATGTAACAATTACATAAGGTAAAGGGGTTCAGTGAAATTTCTTAAAATACATAAAACTAGATTCTTAACTTTTTTGTGTTACAAATTCTAAAAAGGAAATTTACTCGCATTAAAAAAAAAGCTTTAAATCAATAAGCAACTTACTAGGCCACGTAGTAGGCAGAGTTAGAAAGCAGTAACAGCACATCCACATCTCTGTGAGTAGCATCAATGAGGCTAAACAAACATGACACAGGGAATTAAATATTTTTGTTTTCATTTACCATTTTTTTTTTCTAGAGCAGATCCACTTATGATAAAAGATTGGAGGGGCTGGGGTGGGGGAAAAAATCAAGTAATCAACGAGTTCTACTTCTTCAGTTAACTATATACAATCTGTCCATCTGGAAATTTTTAAAAACCGAAAAACCAGGAACCCAGTTTAGGAAGGTGGGGTAGGTGAAGGAAAGGACGAGCTGAGAAGAGGTCCCTTCTCAGAGAGGTAGCCAAGGAGAAGAGAGCGCCCAGGGGAAATGGGATAATGGGGGCGGGGGACTGGATGATGGTAGAGGGGGTAAGGGTTGGAAAGAAAGGAAAATGTGAGGCTAAGAGAAATTGTCTAGATCATCTCACATGACCTAACCTTCAATGACACTGCACATTTAGGGTTATTTTTACACTCATGTAGAATGCATCCTTTTAAAGAACTTTATGTAAATGTAGTGTTTATGTGCAAAAATGGAACCCAGCCCAAACTACTTTGCATTTTTCTTACTACAGATTTACTCAGCTTTTAAGGAATGAGTAAACATTTCTTTATTCTAAGTCCATTTTGCCATATTTTATTTCCACTCTAAAATCAAGTATCAGAATAAGGGATTAACCCAAATACTAATTTTTTAAAAAAGGTCAACACAGAAAATCTACACATAGTCAACAGATAACACGGGCAGAATCCGAACTCAAACTTTCATCTATTAAAACAGCATTTCCAATCAAAAGGTGAAATTAATCCATGCCTCATACTGTTTCTCAAAATTCCACTGTTGGAGTGGATATTTCTACCTTAGAATTTCATAGCTATTTGCAAAGACTTACCAAATGGTACTGAAAAACAAATGGAAAACAGGAGGGAGAAAAAATCACCTGTAGATGGAATTTAAGTCACGTACATAATGTGCGTAAGAATGAGGTCACTCTTTAACAGGTACTGCAGAGACAACTTTACCAAGATCTTCAAGTGCAGGATTTTACCTCGGCAGCACGTTGCTGCAGCGTTAACTCTAACAGTCTTAACCTAAAATAACAAACTGACCTCAATTTTCACCAAAAATATGCCCCCAAAATACAACTAATTAGGTCAGAAGCCAGAACCCAATGAATACACAGACTGATTCAAAATATGAGTAATAACCAACCAACGGTAAAGAAAAAACCATAAAGTCTATGATTTTGGCAGGCTCACTGAGAAGAACACAGACTAATGACGTAAAACGTAATTTAGTTGTGCGCGTTGGTACTTACGTGCACTCTTAAAATTGTCGCTTGAACCAAGCCATAAAAATTACGTCACGACACGTACTGTAATATGAAATTAATTCTAACCCTACTAATTAGTGTTATTTTAGTTTCTATTTTGACACTAATATTTACACCGGTCAAACATGATCTTGGTCAAAAGCATCCTGTCCAAACGAAAAGCACTTGGCACGTGACAGTCGAGAAAAATGTCAGCCCTCCCCCCTCCCCGCACTTTTATCGACGTATAAGCTGCAGTAAATACTTAATTTCCCTCCCCGCCACCCTCCGCCCCACTTAAACAGAAAAAAACCCAGAAAACTGAAAACAAACACTTTTTTTTTTTTTTTAAACACGGACAAGAAAAACAAGAAAACCCGTTTCAGGGCTCCCCGCCCCAGCGCCTGCAACTGGGAAGCGGGCGCTGCGCTACTCGCTTTTCTCTTCCCACCAGTCAGGCATCCCCTCCTTCCACACGATAAACACGAACACCGCCAGCACCACATGCAGCCCCACCACCGCGACAATGGTCGCGTAAAAGCCACTGTCATCAGGCGACATTAACAGGAGGCTTTGGAAAAGCAGTAATTTACAGGAAAAATACAACCCCACGGGAACTTTAACCATAAGTCCTGCAAAAAGGAGAAAAATCTTGAAAGTCGTCGCCAGGCTGCCGCCTTCGGGCTTGGGCTCGGCGGCATTGCCGGCGGCACTGCCCGTGGCGTTTGCCTGCCGCTGGGCGGTCGGAGGAGGCCGGTGGGAGCGCGGCATCCCGTCAGTGCGTCCGTCCGTCCGTCCGTCCACGAGTCGAAGATCAGTCAGAGCCGCTGGCAGCTCAGCTACCACCTGCACCGACTGCGCAGACTGCGGCAACTGCAGCGCGGCCGCGCCGAGTCACGCCCAGAACCTCAGCCCGCTTCCGCCGCCCGCCTCCACCGCGGCGCGCGCCCAGTGCGCAGGCGCGGCCG